GACATTTCTCGAAAATACTATTATCTTTAAATTATATCTTCTCGGAACTGGGACGTCATTCCGGCCAAAAGTAACCGAGTCAGACATAGTTTTGGCCACGTAAGTAGACCAATACGAAGACTGGCGGTTAACACAAAGCGTCTTGCGGAAAAATTCATTTATCATTCAAATTTGTCTCCTTGTAGAGGAGAATTAAGTCCAGCTAATTATAGAATTTCATGAGTAAGATATGACTGTGGTCTTATGTCGGCTAGGTAATTAAAAATCACTACATCTGCACAGTACTTAACTGAAAGACAAGTGAGTGAAGGTACTTATAAATGTTGATATGTCAAATGTACCGCTCAGATTCTTTTTAAAGATGTAAAAACTTCGCAGAATAAATGAACGTAGAGAGCCATGCAAACACGATCGCACTTTCTCTCTCCCTAATAAAAATAAGTTTCAAGACTACACTATTACAAGAATATTTTTGTTTAAATCGGATCGATAAGCGAAAATATAATCAACCAAATTGTTTGAGGTCAAATGATAACGGCTGAGAAGCGCCGAACTATAAAAAAAACCAGACAATGAATAATGAATGGAAAAATAATGGATTGCGAATAGAAAAAGTCCGCCAAGTAGAGAAAAGGACAGCCAGGTAGAAAAACGAAGCAGTTAATCTCAAAACACTAACACAGTTTTTTTTTAATGACGGTGTGAAATTTTTTTAGTTTGACGATAACAAATCTGTGTACTTTGCAGCATTTCCTCCATGACGTAGCATTAAAACTGGAGGTATTGGTTTTTGTAAGTATAAAGGTTAACTCCAAAACCCAGACGAAAAAATACCACAGAGCGACGGAGGACAACAAACAGCAACAAACTCAACGCGTATGTGAGGCGAAGTCCGGGAATTGAACCCGACCTACGATTTAAGGAGGAGAAAAACCTTACGGCCGGACCATCCCTGTTCCCACAACTTCCTCAGCATGAACTGGTGTGGTCAGATTTAGAGGATTGAACTGAGGGATGTATAGTAGTGGTGTTTAAGTTTCCAAGACGGGATGAGGCTTAATTCACTCAAAGTGATTGTTGTTCCTTCCTAGATACGGTGACTTCCTTTTAAAGTATCTTTTGTCATCACTTCAAATTTCTGAGCACGTACTAATACGAGGACTCTCATGTAAATGCAATTAAATTTTTGTCCAGGTTCGTAAATTGGGAAAATAAAACGTTAATAATTGGTCTTTAATTAGTAAGTTCATTTACGATAATGGCATGTTTTCGCGTCGTCAACACTTCTCAAAAATGTCGCCGAGTTACGATTAACTGATGAGTCAGCAAACGATTGGAGTCAACATTCCTCTGAGCATAATTCCAAGGGAGCAGAAACTGTACAAGATAGGCCAAAATCATGAGATGCCCACGGTGGATATACACAATAAACCTCGATTTGATCAGAATTTCGACAACAAAAGGAAACACATATTATAAATGAAATAAACGAGCCAAAAACAGAATACGAAAAGAAACAAAGAGGCTTAACTTTTCAACTGAGTATGTTTCGATTTATGATACTGTAGGAAGCTGGAAAAAGGGAAGGGAAAACCTTGTAGAGGCGTTTCGATATCACCCACTGCGCTCTAGTTGTTCATGATGTATCGGAGCTTGTAGAGTGCAAAAGATATTTTCCAATCAAAGAGCGTTCATTAAAACTGCATTGTTGTTGTAGTTCATTGCAATAGATGTTTGTTCTGCCTCTTGTGAACTCAGTGTAAATACTTCCTACCGACGTTTCATAACTCAGTATTATGACGGATTCCACTCAGTAAGGTTTGAATTATTGACTCTAGGTCAACGACTCTTACAGTATTGAGTCTCTCGGTCTTCAGAAAAACAAGTCCGAAATCTTGACCGAGCATCAGTTACAAACCTATGGATATACGGACTTTGATAAAATACATCTAATCATGTGCCATTTCTAACATCAAAAACTTATGTTTTGATTGACGACTAATCTACTGGTGTTTTATTTTTGCTTAAAGTGTTCCGGTCACCCGCTGACGGTGCTTTCTTGCTGTTTTGCCATCCGAAAATGTATTTAGTTTTCTGTAAATTCTGCAGGCAGAATTATTCGAGACCTGCTGAGTGAACAAAGGTGAACAGACTAGATATTTCCTCTCTAAACGACGATTGTCTGTATGTACTGGCGCCGTCATTTCCTGTTTGTGTTACATCAAACATGGTTTACAAAAGCAGCGAGAAAATCACGAAAAGAGCCTAGACATACATATTTGAAGCCCCATACTGAACTATTTAAGACCTCATGCAGTCGTGATACGAAAACATAGACTGATTAATGCATGGATTGAATTTTCCACGCAAAGAAATAAATTATATATTTTTAATGTTTCTCCTCTAGATTTTATCCCAAACAAATAACTAAAATATGAAGGAATTTGGACAAACTTCTTATCGTCACAGTATTTATTAAAAATTTTTATTTACCAGTTGTTTACGTGAATCCTGTTCGCTACCGAGGAAAATCGGATGAAAATTTTGTGGATGAACTTTCTGTTTGTAATTAGTAATGTAATGTTGTTATAGCCCCTGGAAACAATTGCTTAGACTGAGACAATTTATACCTTTATTTTTCCTAATGTGACATCCTTCCTTTACATAAGTTACACAGTTGTGCAAACATGATTGATTTATCGACAATTATCTCACAATCATCGTCACAGTACGTGTGTAATAATTGGCTTGTTGCCCATAAAGTAGTACTTCAAAGTACGCTAACTAGACAGTGGGCCTTCCTTCCTATAATCAATAGAACAATGAAAATGTGCATTTTCCCGCATCTTAACTGGCAAAGGGTCAAAAAAGAAAAACAAAAAACACGAAGAATGCTTTGATGGAATTTCAGACTCGATGCAAATGCAGTACAGTTGTCCCAGTACAGTTGTAGACTTTGATCACGTCTTTCCAGAAGGTTCTGACGATTGAGGAATATTCGAGCATCCTTAAGACTTAACGCCTCCATACCAAAGCCATTTCAGATTGGCTCACTCGTGCCTGCAATTTAAAAAGCAAACTATTGGTCAGCCGGGGAATTATGCGGGTAGAAAAGAGATCGACATATTTTTATTCTGCTGCAGAATTCTGCAGTTGTTGCTTAAGAGTTGGAAACTTCTCTGAGAACTTGGACAGCTCTATCAATTCATTTCAGAAAGAGGAGTTTCGAAACCTGACTGTTCAGGCCAAATCAGACGAAATCCATTTTAGTTTCGACATAACTTTTCATCTACTTCTGTCATCTTTAATTTATATCATTGATTCACAATTGACGACAATTAAGTGCTGACAAATGGGACAAAGAACATTAAAGTGCAATAACAGGAACTTTGAAATGACTATTAAATGTGATACATTCCTTTACTGATAAAGAGAGGAAGTTATGCACGTTCATTGTCACACTGAACTCTATTGGAAAAACATAATGCTTTTTTATGATGTTGTTCCCAGGTAAAAGAAAACCGTATCTTCCCAAGTCCAATAACGTAAAAAATAGGATAAGAGAAAAAAGGTATACAATGCCTTACTGAAGGTTGGGGCAGAGGTAATTTAGCATTGTAAACGGGTCTAATTTTAATGGTTTTCTCTACAATTCTAGAAATATCAACTGCAAATTAGCAGCAGAGGGTTGTGATATTTCTTCTTTTGACAATCTCTTCATTTTCTCCTCTCTCACTTTACCACTGATACGTTCAACAACGCCTTCCTATCAAGTCACTCTTCGTTCTTGGCCAATTGAGCTTTCATTGTACAAGCTATCATTCTCCACGAAAAGATTTGCATACGAAGAAAAGTTTCCAACTTTAGTATAAGTTCGGTTACATTCCCTGTGAACATTACCTTTTCTTCTTTTAAAGCGTAGCATGCACAGTTTTTTTTTAGGCAAATGTGATCTCGCTTTGCGAAGGAAAAAATGTGACAGCAATCTGGAACCCAGCTGCACTTACACAACGCCACATGAATTTGGAAAACGTTCAATTTCGGCGAAAATTTGTTCTTGCACCTTCTTTAGTTATGATGTTATGAAGTCCTTATTCGGTGTTCAGAATGAAACTATTCCTATAAAAGGCGTAATTCACTGATGTTGTAAGGTGGTGATAGCACAGTTTGTCTGTCTTCAAGCGCTCTAAAGAAAAGAATTGAACTTTCATAAAACGGAAGTATTAAACGTTGAACTGAAATACAGCTCTCAGCAATTCACTGCTGAAAAAGACAAGGAACTCTGTAAGATGTAGCTCAAGATAAAAATACCGGAAAGGTTTTTTCCCACTAAAAATGGAAACAAGAGCCTGACCGAATAACTTATATTTGGGCCATAAATTCAATAAATACAATTATATCAGTGATTTAAACAAATTAGGATAAAATAAAACAAACTGAAATTTGAGACGAATTTTCCATCCTAACGTGAGGAAATGACTTTGGCATTTTTCACGTACGTGATTCAAACTTCACTTAGTGACCCTGTGTGAGCCCTCCATAAGTCGTATTTACAAATCGGCCGGATTTACGACTTCACTTCTGCCCTTCATTGGGAATCATACGTTTTCGCCCTTAATGTCGCTTAACTTCCGTTGTATTTGAATCATTATTAACCCTGAATCTTATCTATGCACTTGAATTGATTGCTTCACAAACATAACAGGGAACCGTTTGACAGTAACCTTCACCGTTGCACTCCGTTGCCCATGCAATTTAGTGGTTTGCGTGACAGGTCCAATACATCAACTTTAGAGCATACTTGTCCCTTCAAACGCCCGCACTGACTTATTTTAACGTAAAACACAGATAGTTTCCTTATCACGCCTCCACAAAGGATTTCATTCATCTGAATATCAATTAAAGTACGTTTTTAATATTTTTATCCTTGGCTTGTTTCCGCCACAGTATTTGTATCTTGAAGAAGTAGCTAAACACACCGTTAACTGAAAATACAAATAAGTGAAATTCAGGATTTTCCCGACTTGTGGAAATGTCCCGGCCCAAGAACTCGTTGTCAGTCAGTAGCAAGATTGCCCAATTCTACAGTTAAAAGATGCAATAAAAAATGTATTTTTTTACCAGCACTCAACGAAATCCAGTTTATTCTTAAAAATATCAAACGACATCAACGCAGAGCTGAAGTGAATATTCTACAGTTAGTCACGGAGACAACTGATATCACAAAATTTGTATGAAATTACTAATCAGAAAAGTAACTTCTGCTCTGCTCGAATGTTTTATGAATAACTGTGGTTTTGGAGAACTTTCGTAACTTAAAAACCATTTACAATCGTTTCCTTCCATGTTAGATTTTTCTTTGATGACACTCAATAAATTGCGTGACACAGTTCTAAGAACCATCCTGTTAAAGAGTTCCTTTCAGACGATCGTCACCCCAATGACGCGAATTAACCAAAATATACCAATGTACCAATATACGATACATTTTGACGTCGTTTCCTTCTCAGTAAATTTGTCTTTCTTGAAATTTAGGGAATGTTTTGAACCTGCCTAAATGATTTTGCCAGTTACCGGAAGGTCGGGGATCACCTTATGATAAAGGAATAGAATTTACTCGTATTTCTCATCACTTCCGACATCCCACATAACATCGCTTAGTCTGCAACGGGTTTTAAAGTTCCTCGATCTCTTGCTTTTATTTGAGGGTATAAATTTACTTATGACATCACCATAAGTCCTCTCCCCGCTGATTCATGAAAAAATTGCGGAAACGTACAGAATTGAAAACAGCCGAACAATATGTGTCGTCAAAATAAACAGACCAACCAGTAAAGCAACAAATTATGCTTAAAATGTAGTACATGATTCGCTAACTGCTGACAACGTCAACATTCATTGTTCATCGCAATCGATCTTTCTTTTCATGATTCGCGAGAAGACATTTCCGTCGAGCAACGCTAAAACAAATTGAGACAAGCCCGCACTTTGCTGACAAGACAGGTCATTATGCCAACGTGAGAACGATTTTCAACGGGGTTTTTTCCGCTTCGTCGTAGGAAACAACGTTTTTGTCAGTTTGGGTGGAGTGATTCCGGAGTAAATGTCTGCGGTTTTCAGGTTTATATAATAGCGAGTTTTTAATGAACAGAATCATTCAACCATAAGTAGCAGAACAGATCAAAAGTCACTGTAAAGCAGACATCGATTTTGTCGGCCGTGTTAACTCCATCGACAACATAACGAATATCCACTTCAGAGAACGAAGAACCATGAAACACAACACAGCAGTTCTATTCTGGTCAACCCTGGCCGTGCTTATTTTCACAAAGTGAGTACTGGAAGTTTGAAAAAAGATTCCAAGTTTTAGTTTTGACAATTTAACGGTCCACGTGGCTTTACCGTTTGTTGTGATGAACAAATCTTTTTTACGATGTCTATTATTTGTTTTATAACTCATCTCTGTGATTTCCTGATTATTCGCTATTACTGTATCTTAAACGTATTAAATTGTTCGTTGTCTTACTCATTTTTCTTCACAGAGGTTTGGCGTCTCCGCTGCTAAAAGCTCTCTCGGTAAGTACAAAATACAATTATGTAGCTTAGGGGAGTTTTCAAAGAGCTAAATTTGTTTTTCAAAAATTACGTCAGTTGGACTCTTGACAGGGGTTTTACCCAATACACGTGGTCACGCAAATAAACTTCTGCTCGAAGCTAATCTTTACCTCTCAGACTCGTAGAAAAATATCCTTGTACTTGCCCCTAACATCAAAATAGACTTAAGATATTATAAATGGAAGGAATTAGAAATACTTCCTTTCCCATCAGAAAAAAACAATTCGTGATGCGTTCATGGAGCCATCCAAACGTCGCGGAGGCTAATTTTGCAGTTTTGATTTGTATTGTCTGGGCAATTCATCAACAACAATGAAAAATAAACAGTTATTATGTAACAGTAGACATTGCTAGCTCCATATCGAGCTAATCTACGTGCTTTTTGTTTCAGAATTCTGAGTCAGGTATATCAGTAGCCCGTTCTGTCTGGATAATGTCCAGGAATTCAAGGAGCTTGATAAGAGTCAGAGGAACTTCGGTGGACGGTAATGGAGTCAAAACAGACAAAAGTGGTAAGCTTGTATATTGGATCACAAACTGTAAATAAATCGCTTTCATATTTGAGTTGAATCTAAAAATATCATATCAGGCATTTTATATCATAAACTACCCTCTCTGAGTGAGATTAGACCACCCAAGCGGTTTTGATAAGTGTACTTTAAGGCCCACAACACGAACTTTATTTAACCACCACGGTTAGTCGGTCCAATTAAACTTTGCAATCGGATTATCATTGAGATTTATTGTTGTAAAGATTGCTTTGTTTTGTTTTCAAAAGTTTCAATATTCTTTCGTATGACAAAATACCGTTGTACTCGGCGTAACTTCAAAGCAAGAGGCCGATAAAAGTTGCTCTTTGAATGGCTTACAAATCTAGCACTTGTTGCGGCTGCTGAGCAAAAATTGATACAAAAGCGCATTCAGCCATAAAAGATTATGCGTTAAAATTCGTCTGGAACCGCTGCATTTGGCAAGCACCTGAGCGTTGCGAAATCAAGTGGACCTCAGGGAGACAGTTAAGCTTTCAAATATTGCCATTAAATCCGTATTAAAGAGACAGAGCAACAAGAGCTCAAGTGGCGGTTTTTCTGACCTGCCGCAAAGATCAATAGGTTTTTTTTTTCCCGCCAAAAGCGGCGCGTACATCTGTCCTGTGTGAATGAATTTTGCCGACAAATGTGCAAATGAAAAGAATGAATTAACGGCGGCAAGTTTGGCCGAAAACTAAACCAAAGAAAATTGATTTATCCATATAAGTCGTTATTGTGGAATATGACAGCTCTCTCACTTAGAAGAGTTATATCCTTGTGCGGGACAATTTTTTTCGTTCAGAGAATAATTTTTGTTTTCACTTTTGGATTATTGGGTAGCACATTCGAAAATACCTCAACCTGCTCAAATCAGTTTTTACAAATACTGTTTATAAACAAGATTATCAATATACAAACACAAGAATAATCGTCAAAATAAAGAAAGTATCAAATTTTATAACTTAATTTTGCCCATTCGCGATTTTCGGTCTCTCTTTTTGTCCAGTTTCCTTATCGCGCTGTTGATTGAATTAACAGCATTAAAGGTTATCAACTCTGAGCACTTGTGGGTGTTTTCAGCACCTTAATGGCTGAATAAATGTCTGCACCTTTAAAAGACAGATGAAAGCCTCGTTCGTGTTGTTGTTTACAACGGTCCAACATGTTTGGAATCTAAAGAATTTTTGGGCACAAACGTGGGAGGGGAAATTTTATAACACCCTTTCACACACACACAATATTTACATCCTTTTAGGGGGAGATCTTGATGCCGCAGAAAGATGTTAGCAAGGGTTCGGGAATGTTTGAGACATTCTTAGCTTAGCGTTGCTGGGGCGCTTTCCTCAAGTCGGAGCTAATTTGTGCCGTTTTGTTCTTTGTGTACCTACTTCCGTCGGCTCAGGAAGTTTTAGTAATGGTAGATTATTTTAAAACAGATTAAAGCTCATCCGTGATTCATATACGCCCAGAAAGAACCTCAAATCTGCCTCGCAAAATATAACAACTGTTTTGTATCATACGATGTGAAAATCGTTTTTGTCGATTCGCCACAGGTCAACCAACATTTACTGGATTATAGGATAATTTGGTTTAATAAACTAAGTTGATCATGTATCTTTTTTAAAGGTTAAGTCAGGATTTTGATTTTGTTTTTTTTTTTCCGTCTTAGCCAAGCTAGAGTTGGAATCGAAACGTTACAACGGTTCTGTATACGTAAGAATACGATCCGTGACAGAAAATTCCTATCTCTGTGTCAACGACGCCGGAGACCTTACAGTAGAAGTAAGTTTTCTTTCCTTTTCATTTTCTTATTTTTTTCACACCTTGTAACACGAATATCTAAAGTGCGTTTGGATTGAGTGTCACTCCAAAACAAAATAATTCATGGATAGCTATTAAGTTCAGGAGTTAACATTACAGGGAATCAACTGGATCTGAAAAAAAAACGAAAATTGCGTGGCTTACGCGCTGGAAAAAAATGAGTGACCCAGTAGCCGTTGGTTTTTGATTTGTATTTGATCGGTTGAGAATTTGACCAATCACAGAGCGGACAAGAGAGCGAGTGAGGAAATCTGGTGAGGGCTTATTTAAAGCCCTTACATGGATTCTTTCCACAAATTTTTCTCGATTTCTGACTAATTTTTGCTATTCCTGTTCATTTGTTTTCTGCAGGTGCACGGAAATATTTTTACCCAGTGCTTATTCACAGAGGACACATTCTCCGGATACACAACATTTCAATCGATCAAAAACTCAACCTGGTATCTTGGTTTTAAACGAAGTGGCAAAGTGAAACAACCACACAACACGACATTCTCCCAAAAGGCAGCACGGTTTGTGAGGTATTTTTCACTCAGTTCAATTCCTTAAAAAAGTATCGCTGTGAAAATGTAACTTATTTAAGGGCTAGGTCTACTTATAAAAAAGTATTTATAACAACGGATTTGAAAAAGGTTATTTAATACACCTAGATTTATCAAGTAAGAAGAAAAGGTGAATACTTTCCAAGAGAGTAAATGTTTTAATTGTAAGATAAGGAATATGTTAAAGTATGAATTATAAATTTGAATTTTTAAGTACCATTTGTATTTATATATTTATGTACTATTTATTTGAAGGGAGGAAAATTCTCCTCACCCTCTCCTAATTTATCAGAAAACGCATTTTTTCAGTGTCTTTTCAAATAACTCACGATACCATGTATTGTACAGAGTAGTTCATATTTACGGACAGTACGTGTTGCAAAGACGAATCGTAAGATTAAGGAAGTTACACGAACATTTTGAAAAGGTTATTTGCATCCCATTTTTTAGCTCTGGATTTCATTTCAAAGCAATACATTTTGCGTCCTAAACTATATAAATGCCTCATGAATATCATATTATTAAGGGTAATACTCTATGTAAGCAGTTATTAAAAGTGGCGACGAAGACCAACGACAAGTGGTCAAAAATATTTTTTAATAAGCTTGCAAGTGCTTTTATTATCCCGTATACCATTAGTTATGTTAAGTCCAAGAATTTTCCTTTTTAGTACCAGACTTTCATTCCTTGGAAAGTTTTTTTTATTATAATTGTTTGCATAAAATATGAGGTATTTTGAGACTTATGGCAAAAATAAATGTATTTTATCAGCTAGCTTTTATATTATTTATATTTCGACTGTGGCGACCTTATGGATGGTTACCAATCCTCTACAAACTATTTATATAAGCTGGTGCGCAAAAAATTTATAATCTGTACATTATGTATGTAAACAGTCCACAAATTACAATAAATACAATTTAATTTTTATGCATCCTCTTTTGTGTTTATTTAATTACCAAAATATACCGGCTAATTCGTACGTGGTCTAACAGTT